TGCTAGTTTAATCTCCAGCCATACACCCATTCAATCTGTCTAATGAGTCTACCAATTAGTGTCAACCATGATGCATACTCTTGTAATCTTGCAACAGGACTCAGACCACAAATTATTTCTCACAGGATACTAAGCAACTATCAGACAGAATTACTTCCAGTTACCGATAGCCCTGCCCTTGGCTAGATTTGAATGAATGATATAGAAAGTGAAAACTTCTGTATCAGAAACAAAGTTTCTGTTTCCAATTGTCCTTAGACATCCAGTTCCCTCAGATTTCAGATTTATAAATTAAATCATATTAGACATACCTAATAGACGTCTTAAATCTTATCCAATGCATTTAAGTCTATAGGGCTTTTCAGAAGAACTACTTTTGTCTAAACTTCATCATGGCCAGAGGATAGAAACTCTAGAATGTATAGCTTTGCCTTCCCCATGCTTATCCCAGCACAGTATTATATTAATGAATGTACAGTAACCTGAAGCCTTTCTATTTTCACTTTAATTGATAAACAGCAAAACTATAGACTATTGATCTGTCACCATTTTGATAGACTCTTTTCTGATTACTCTTCATTCTGCTATCAAAGAAGAAGGGATTGATAGCTTGTGGGGATATGTTTTATTCTACTAGATTTTTACGGATGATTTCCACGTTATGTTTCGATTACATCTTTGAATAAAAAGAATATCAGTATTTGTCTGATTTCTAAATTCTGATTTTGCATGAAAATCCTCTCTTAATAGCAGCACTGTAATTTATATCATGTTAAGATAAATTCTTCTTTAAAACAAGTCCCTGTGTAGCCTTGGTCTTGATCTCTAAACAAGCAAAGCAATAATATCTGAAACAGTTTGAAAATTGAAGATGTGAAACATTTAGTAGCATAATCATTCAGTACACAATACAACTACTAGCCCAATGGACTTTACAAATAATTTTGTATTAGAGCACGTGATGGCACATATCTCCTATCAGCTTAGAGGAAATTTATACACAATAGACTTGCTTGTGCCCTTGATTTGTTTTTCATGAGTACACTTCAGTACTGTAAGTACGGTACAAGTACATGACACCTTCTCCACTGTCTTAGAAAATGAAATTAATAGTGTGGAACAGAAATCAAGAAATACGGGCCCCCCAGGCTCCGGTATGTGAGGGGTATGTGGGGAGTGTCTTTCCTTCTCAGTCAAGGGCCATGTCTGAGATTTTTTTTTGTTTTGTTTTTTCTGTTTTTCTCATTTGTGTGTGGTCCCCAACTGGTTTTTTGTTTTCCCCTGTGGGTCAGTGGCCCCTGACTCAGATTCCCCCATCCCTGAAGCTATAGCTAGACACTTACATTCCTTTTTCAAAAGAGGAATGTAAATGAGACAAATCGAAAGCGCAAAAGAAGCATGGATTTAAATATCCCATGCTTCATTTGCATATTTGCTTTTTTGAATGTGGAAAGAAGTCTAGACTGGGTTCTTTGGGGGGGGGAGTTTTTTGAAACCCATACTCTTCACTTTCAGGAGTACTTGCTCTTTCAAAGGTTGTAAAACTCAAGTTTTTAATATTGGTTTTTTCGTAGTGTGAAGCAGTTGGTCTCACATTTCTATTTTGAGTTAAAGATGATTAGTACTTCTTAAATAAAAAATTGTTAAGCCAATCATGGTAAACCAAGCCAGGCCTGTGTGCCTGAAGATGTGACAGTATTGTGGCTGGGGGCAATGCTGGTTAACAAAGTTGTCTGGTTAACAGAGTACCAGATGTGACGTAGTGGGGGTACTTGCTGGGCTGTGGTGACCCCTGCTGTCTGGAGCAAGACCCAGCAGGGAAAACCTCGCTAGGCAGAGGTAAGGCCAAACCTGTTGAACCAGTGGCCAGACACCCCCCATGGAGAGGAACAAAGGAAGGTGGAATGCGGCCCTGACTGGGGGGGCAGGGCTGCAAGGGAATTGAGTTAGTTACTGTGGGAGAGCATGGAGGAGAGCCTAGGAGAAGGGGCTGGAGTTTAGGGACCCAGTCTCCCCCATCTCAAGGGGCCTGAGGCATCCTAGCCCAGCTCTGGGACCAGATTACATCTGTGCTGTGCTGTATCCTGGAGAGGCAATAAACTTCCTCTATTCCACCGGCTGGGGGAGGCTGTTTGTGCCATTTCGGGGTGCAGGAGACGGGGAACCCCCAACGCGCCGTCACACCAGATAACAAAGGTTTCACTGTATAAGGGAAAAATAGGGCTTAAAATAGAAAGTGGTATTGATTGACTTTATGACTAAGAGTAGTTTGTAAAGAGATAGAAAACCTTCCACTGCTAGGACACCGGACTCACATCAGTGTGATAGAGATTAAAACTATTGCCATTTAACTGTTATATGGTTGCCAACATTGCCGAAATGGACACAGGACCTCAGGAATGAATAGCACCATCCCCCCAAAAATATTCTGTCACAATTAACTCCTGGTAACTCCACCAGAGAGGAAAAGACAGACTGAATGGGCATAAAAACTGACCTACCTTCCCACCTTTTTTATCACTCGGTAAAGTTGTCCCACCCCAATTGTGCTGTTTTAAAACTCAGCTGAATGATTTTACTGCCTAGCTTTTGCTGTTTTTTACATAACAGCATTATGCTGAGCTTTCTCATCTCTAAGATATTGGATTGGTGTCTTCTGGATTTTTTAAATCTGCCACTGAAGAGTTGCACAGAAAAATAGATAATGGAAAAAAGAGTGATTAAAAACAGTTCATTGAATTTAAATTATTAAAGCATATCAATAAAATAAAAGTTAATTGACAGTTTTTAAAGATTGTGATGCATGTATATATCCTTAGAATAATTCAACTGCTGCATCCCAAAATTACTTCTTGGATAAAAATAATATAATAAAAAATTCATTGAAATCTAATGGAGAAATTCACAATCTAGTTCTTCATTAATCTTTAATACTTTGTGCTACAATATGTAGGATGATATGTCTAGTCAATAAATATTTGTATCCCAGTGTTTGTTAATCTACATTGGTAAAGCTGCAATTGCCTAATGATAACAAATGGTTTCACTCACTTACACTATCAAGGGTTTTTTATCCCTAAAAATCCCAACGCGCTTTATAAAGTAATAGAGTGTGTGTGTGAAAGAGAGAAACCTTGAAAATGCAGTTATTTCTAGGGTGGAAGTTGGCCACTGTTTAATGGTCCTCATGAATACCACACAGCAGGTTAGGGCAGAACATTAAGAATCACATCTCCAAGTGACATAGTGGAAGAGTAATTTAAATACAATAAAGGGCCCAGTCCTCCCTGGTGCAGTGGAGTATTTCCTGTGGTGGTGCACATCCTAGACTCTAAAGAAGTTTCAATTGCTTTGCAGGATCATACCCAAATTTGCTCTTTGCCTGAAATGGAATTTGTCCAGTACATCTGGATTAATGTTCATATTCATGTAGAAAGGAATATGAGAACTTTAACAATTACAGGGTCAGGAACTCAGATGTACTTCTCAGTTAAAGAGCAGCATCTCCAACAGCACTGTGCCTCCTGATTCAACTCCCATGACAGTCTCTCATCTTCAAGTAGAGAGCGCCAATATGATCTGGTGAATAGGGCATATGCCTGGGAGTCAGGAAAGCTCTACTCTGCTCTTCACCTGCTGTGACACTTTGGACTCAGCTCTCCTTTACTCAGTTTCCCTGTCTGTAAAAATGCATCTGCAATGATATTTACCTTCCCTTATGAAATGCTTTGAGATCTACACGTGAAGAGTGCTAAGTATTAATAATAACAACAAGGTCTGAATCTATTAGGTTGTGGGAAGTGATCAGCTCACAGCCTCAGATACTATATGGCAGAGAAACAGTACTGTGTAGAGCAAAAGCAAATTGTTCTCAAGTTTATGGCTTTTTGTGCTGCTGCATGGACAATTCATGTGTTTTTAGGATATCTCTAAATATAGAAAATGACCGCTGGTGCTCCCAAGTCAGTCTGTAGAGAGACCACTCCAATGCGTATTTCCATTTCTTTTTTATTACTGCAGGACCCCTAGCTTGACACTCACAAATTAAGCATGACCTTGGTTGTACATTTCACCTGAAACACAGATCAACTGCTGATAATGTATCCCCATTCATCTTTTATACTGGTCTATCGTAGATGAGGTGAATAAAAATATTTCAGAAGTTACATTTCATTTCAATTTACCTTATTCCTGGAGCAGAAGATATAAAATGCAAAAATAACAAAAGAAATTAGACAACCATCTGTTAGTGCAAGTTATTTGGCAAGCCTGGAATGGTATAACTAATCTCTCCTGGCTCAGTAAAGATTCCTAGGTTGTATTTATATTTCTCAAAGATTTAGAGTTTCCTGGTGCCAAGGGGGAATTGAAGCCTCTGTTGTCACACAGGTATGGCAGTTTGGCCAGTTAATCCCTATCTGTGCAGTCTCCTCCATATATCTAATGAAAGTGTTGTGTGCAAATTAGCTGTAGGAGTAAGGATGGTAATTGTCTTTGATATCACAGTGCTCTAGGATTCGTGGTTCTCAACCTTTTTATGTTTGTGGGCCACAACCAGTACTACCAGCATGGCCCTGAAGATGACACATCAACCACACCTGTATTGATTGGGCTGCAGGTGGAGATCTTTTGGTAGACTCATGCCTTACCGTAGCTGGATACTGCACAAGTGTTAATTATTACAGTCAGAATGGCTGAGAACATATACATTAGATATTAGCAGAGCGTGTATCCTAAAGATGATTGAACCTTGTGATATTCTAAACAAAAAGAGATTTCAGACATGCTTGTAACTGTTGCACATTTCACACTGACTCAACAGTCATTCTAGGCTTCAGAGTAACAATCCTTGAATTTCTCTCTCACACACACGCACACACACACACACCATGTCAAAGGTTATTCTTGAGATTAAGTCAAGCACTTAGAAATAGTATTGTATGTGCATTCTTACCCTTTGAGCTTTTAAATGCATGATCATATACTGTTTTTTTCCACAGAAACCCTGCCTCATTCAGTGCACAGGATGGAGGGTTCTTCCTTAATAAGTAACTATTCAATACTTTGTTTTCTCCTCATTGTTTAATGTGTGACCTTAGCAATTGTTTTCTACACCTTGTTCAAACTCTGCTCTGAATACAGAATTATTACTTTCCCCACAGGTTTTTCTGTGGTGCTCATCACTGTAATATCAAGTGCTTCACAAACATTTGTCAACTGAGAGTCTCCATCCCTAGTGGAGTCTCCATCCCTAGAGGTGTTTAAGTCTCGGCTTGACAAAGCCCTGGCCGGGTTGATTTAGTTGAGATTGGTCCTGCCTAGAGCAGGGGGCTGGACTTGATGACTTCCTGAGGTCTCTTCCAGTTCTATGATTCTATGAGAGGTAATGTGATCCTTGTGTAAGGATCAGCAAGAGTTGAGCCCAAGCCTGCAGGGCTACTGGGCAACTGAATCCCCCCAGGATTGCCAGACCCGTGGGCATTGGGGAGGCCCTCAGCTACATGCACCCTCAGGTGGAAAGGGTGAGGCTGGGGCAGCCAGCCCTCAGTGGTGTCGAGATGGTGTAGCACTTCTCCCCTTCTACACAAGCCTTCAGAGCTAGTTGGGGCACTGGGCTCTGCAGTGCACCATGTGGCGATCCCATGGTTATTCTTCCTAGGGCTTCCAGCCACTGATGCTGCTAGAATCACCAGGCCCTGGGGCCTGGCCACTCCCTGCAGCTCACAGTCTACAGATGTTCAGTGCCATGAGAAATTCCATCTTGAGTGATCTGACTGACAGAGGTTTTAGCAATTCCTAATTGGCTCGTCCCTGTACAAATCCCTGGGGCATACCAGGAAGTGTCCATGCAACAGTGTAGATTCCTAGCTACCTGCCCTGGCTGCCTGAATGCCTAGTACTGACCTTGACTGTAACTTGGAGTCTGTCTCCCAGTTGACCCACTGGAATATCAAAATGAACCTTGATATATGGTATTGACTCTCAGCTTGATTCCTGACTCTGGCTCTGATGCTCAGCTTGACTCTTGACCCTGATGTAAAGCCTCTGACTCTGGCTTCAGTTCTGGGATCCAGCACACAGCTTACAGGGAACTGATCCGACCTACCTTTGCCCAGAATTCTGACACCATAGATATATAAACAGGAAAGAGCGAGTAAGAGCGAGGAGATTATATTTCCTCTGCATTTGACACTGGTTGACTGAGACTGGAATTCTCTGTCCAGTTCTGGTGTCCAGAATTCAAGAAGGATGTTGATAAATTGGAAAGCCTTAGCACAGGAATAATTAAAGGGTTATAAAATATGACTTATGGTGATAGACTTCAGGCACTCAATCTGTTTAACTTGACAAAGATAAGGTAACTTGATCATTATCTGTAAGTACCTACTTTTTGGGGGGGGAAACCTTTCATAAGAAGCTTTTTCTACCAGACAAAGGCATTACAAGATCCTATGGCTGGATGTTCATCCTAGACAACTTCAGATGAGAAATAAGGCCCAGCATTTTAACAGTGAGAATAATTAATTTTGCAACTTTTTTTGTTAGACTCATTAGTGATTGCAGGTCTTGCTATAAGTATGCACTACTTCAAGCAACAATTAATTTAGGGAAATCCTTTGATCTGTGTTATGTAGGAGTTCAGATTAGATGATCTATAAATCTTCCAATAAAATCAAATAATACCTTTGAGAGATGAGGAAGTGGTACTAGCCCCATTTTATTGATGGAGACCTGAGATAAAGAAATTAAGGCCAAAAGTTTCCACTAATTTTGGGTGCCCAATTTGAGACCCCTAGAACTTGAGTTTTCAGAGTGTCCAGCAATAAATATAATTTGGTATATTCAACATACAGCTGTCATTGACTTATACCTGTGACTGCTCAGAACTTCTGCAAACCAAACGTTGGGGACCTCATTTGGAGACCCAAAAAATGAGAAATACACAATTAGTTACCACCTGTGAAAAGTGTAATTTATTTGCACAGTATCACATAGGAATCTCTGTCTGAGGTAAGATAGAGTCTAGTTCTTAAGAGCAGCATTCTACTGCCTTGACTGTGAGTTCCTCCTTTCTCTCCCAGCTTCATTCCCTGCACCCCTTCCATCTTCTGCTTCATTTGTCACAGAGACAACAACTTTCTTTATTACACACCTCTGGCACATCCCCAGAACAGGTCCATCTCATGCACTGAAGGAGGCAAGGGTTCTGAGGAAAACATAGTATGTGATCAGGTAATTAAAGACTGGATCATAATGCGTATGCAGAAAGGGCCAGATTAAGGTTGCTCTTGCAAACTTGATTCTGGCATTTCTTAACAGTTGAAGCATTTAACTTTGCAACTTTAATAAAGTCCTGTTTACGTTTTTTCTGGGTAATTTTTTAGACTTTTTAAAAAGCAAACTGGAAAAATAGAAATTCCATCATGTGTCATGATATTGGTGCCCACATGAACTATCAGTGGAATTGGAACCTTTTAGACCATGGATGGGCAATAATTTTGGGGGGCCACTCGAGGATTTTGGTAAGTGGTCAGTGGCCACACTTTTCTATGAAGGGGGTGCAGGGTCTGGGGCGGAGGTTGGGTGCAGAAGGGAGATCAGGGTAGGGAATTTGGGTGCAGAAGAGGATGGAATCTGAGAGGGAGATTGGGTGATGGAGAGAGCTGTGATCTGGGGGTAGGGGTTTAGGGCACAGGATCTGGTAGGGGGTACGGGCACAGAAGATTCTGACCTTCTCCGAAAAGGTGTAGGAGAGGGGTGCAGGGTCGTGGAGGCAGTTGCAACCTGTGAGAGGGGAGGTACAGAGGGTTGTGTGGTGACCCCGGACAGGGGGGGTAGTGACACGAGGCAGGGAGTTGATGCGCTGAAGGGGATGAGGTGCCAGATGCAGGCTCTGGCTAGGAGGTGCTTACCTAGGCAGCTTCTGGCCAGTAACCCAGCAGGACCCTCAGGCAGGCTCCCTGCCTGCTTCAGTCCCAGGACACTCAAATTCACTGGATGCTCCATGTGCCTCTCAGCTCCACGTATGGGAGAGGGTGGGAGACTTTGCACACTGCCCCAACACCCGGCCCTGAGGGTCCCAGGAGGCAGGCCACAGGCCAGATCTGGCTTGTTCCTGCTTTCAATATACTGCCCAAGCTTCTGCCATTGGCACTGAGTAACAGGGAGCAGTAGTGGGTTGTCATTCATTCTTCATGAGAACTAGCTCTGGAGAGGAGTGAGACATGCACTTTGCCAGTGAATTTCATAGATACTTGCTGACAGCAGAGGAATGGTGAAATCTCGGAATCCTAGGTTCTCTCCACACTGGTTCCTAGTCCCAGTTTCTTTGTTTAGATGGTCCTAAACTCCCTCCTGTAACTTGCCCCAGTTTATGTGGATTTTCACAGAGATAGCTAAAGGCACACCCATGACACACAGCCTGCAGCTCCTGCCATTTATCAATCTGTGCTCCAAAGCATTGGGGTTCTATAACTTTTCAATGGAGTGGTCTCCAAAATTTTTTAACTTTAGCAAGCAATCATGTTTTTCCCTAAACTCATTCTCAGAAAGAACTGACTTGATTTCACCAAAATTTTCCAAAGAAATTCAGCCTCAGGTAGACACTCAGCATGGAAATGTCATTCCAAAACATTTGTCAGTGTTATTAGCAACTTCAAACAGGGTTGCCTAATGGGAAATGTCAGGCAACCTTAATAATAGGTCCTTTCTCAACTGGGTTTTAAATCAGAGTTATCCTTTAATTCCTTAATAATAAATGTACGGGTATGTCTAGTCTACATGCCTCTGTCGCCAGAGGCATGTAAATTAGACTACCCGACATGGTCAATGAGCCGGGATTTAAATATCCACATCTTCATTAAAATAAAAATGGCCACCGCTCTGTGCCGGCTCAGCTGATCGTCGGCACAGCGCGTCAGTCAAGATGCGGATCAGTCGACAGGAAACACCTTTGTCAACCGCTCCCTTATGCCTCGTGAAATGAGGTTTACAGGAACGGTCAACAAATGCGTTCCCTTTCGGCCAATCCGCATCTTGACTGCCGCGCTGTGCTGACGATCAGCTGAGCCGGCACAGCATGGCGGCCATTTTTATTTTAATGAAGCTGGGGATATTTAAATCCCCGCTTCATTGACAATGTCGGGTAGTCTAATTTACATGCCTCTGGCGACAGAGGCATGTAGTCTAGACATACCCTAACTTAATTTCTTCTATTTACCATGATTTTAACTCATTCTTATTGGTAACTGTATTTCCCTATTAAAAAAAAATGTCTACATTTCAGTATAAACAGTCTCATGCTCCTGACTTCAGAGAAGTAGCCCTGACTCCTGCTGAGCAATTTTCTCTAATTTTCTTAATTTCTCCTTTTAATTCCCCTTTTCCAATAGCTCTGGTTTACACCCGGGTGACAGTGTCACAAAAACAGGACCTGGAGGCCTTTCAGACATGAGACAAGTGCCAACTGTTGTGATCGAATGCGATGACGATAAAGAAAATGTGCCTCATGAATCGGACTATGAAGATTCTTCCTGCCTTTACTCAAGAGAGGAAGACGATGAGGAGGAAGATGAAGATGATGATAGCTCATTATTTACAAGTAAGACTCATCCTTCCATATTGCCATGTAGTGTGTGTTTGTTTTGTTGTATTTATATTCAAGTCACACAGCAAATTGGATATCTTGGACCTGATTTTCTTGTCACTTGCAATGGCATACATCAGGACTAACTGCGGGGATTACAGCAGAGTAACAGCAGCATAATGAGAGGAGAGTCAGGTGTTTTACAATTTAATAAAAACAAAGTCATGTTAGAATATTTGCAGACATTATTAAACATGTTGTTGTGAAGTCAAGAAGTCAATGGGAGTTTTCCAGCAACTTCAGTAAGATCAGCGTAAGTCCAGCACTGAGCAGTTTTGAAACAATACAAACATGAGGCCAGATCCTGAGATCTTGCCTTAATTTTTAGCCAATCCTTATTTAGATATGACTCCCATTTAATCAGGTATGAGTATTTTTGACTAAAAGTCTCAGGATTTGGCCCTGGATCTTTCGTCCAAGTATGAATTGAATAAAAAACTAGAAGGGACTTCAGGATTGCTTCCCTGGTTATTGCTGGATATGTGCTCTTTTTTTTTTTTTTTTTTTAAATGCTACCCTTAAAGGGCAGTGGTAGATTTTAAAATAGATCATTCCAGCACTGACTGGCATTTTTGTTTTGTACAGTGTGAATTATTCACATAGAGAAAACTCAGCATTTTTGTTAAAATCAGAATTACACAGTTCCCCCTCCCTTTTTTTGTAAGAATATGTATCCACAGAGGACCAACTCTGCTCACTTTACCTACTGAGCTCATTGAGGACTGATATAATTAAGGTGGGCAGCATTAAGCTCTCTGTGTGCTGCGCGCATGTTTCTTAATTATTTTGTCCTTGCCGATTTAAAACACAAGGGCCTGGATGTGACTTTGCTTATGGCACTTTTACACCCATGTAACCTTGCTGACTTCTGTTGAGTTAGTCCAGTTCAATGAATTCAGAATCAATGAATCCAAAACCGTAAGCCACACCAAGAAGTATAATTACTTCTAAAAACATAGACCTGATTCTCCACTACCCTGCACGTTGTAGAGTAATTTACATCTGTAGAAAATATGTGTGAAATGTTGTCATCTCATTTGGTATCATTCTACTCTCACTCCTCATGATGCAAAGCAGCAGAGAATCAGGCCCACGAATGACAACTCTAAGTTAAATTTTAGACCCGCTATCATAGTTAAGGGATTGGTTGCACCTCTGCTCCCCTTCCTGTCCTTGCAAGGGACCCCATTCAAGTCCCCCTTCATCTCCACACCCCTCATCTCCCTCAATGAGTGAGCCTCCCTCTCTTTTACCCTCATGGTGTATGAGCTGGGGCTGACATGAGTCAAGCTGTCATCAGATTCCCTTACACTGTGCTGTACATGAACGGATATCACATGTGCCAGTCACAATCCCAATTCATCTGGCCACGGAGAGGCAGCCAGCCCAAATTTGAATAATATTGCAACCACACTGCCAGGGCAGTGCTCTGGTAGCGGCCGTACTGATTGAGAATGGGATCTCTGCTTAAAAGCGCTTAGGCCATGCACAGTGCCCACAGCTTAGTTAGTTTTAAGCAAGTGCAAAAATCTTGGAGAGAGGTTTTCAGTCCCCCTCCAGCCTCTCCCCTGCCCTCCCAAATGGGTGCCATTGCAGCCCATACAGACAGGCCTGCACTAGGTCTCCTTCAGTAAGCACAGAACAAATAGTAGTGTGGGTGCTGCAGAATGAGAGGCAACTTAGGCTGGCCAGCCAGGCTCAGACCCAGAGAGATATGAATAGGTAGCCTGAGCTGCCACTCATACCACAGTGCCACAATGCTGTTTTTAGCATGCTAGCTCAAGCCTATCTACTCAAGCTGGGTGGCACACTCCCAGCTGAAGTGTAGACATACTCACTGCTCAAGGACAGCACATTTGATCCAGCCTTAAGTGTAAATTGTCAGGTGGCTACGAGAAAAGCCTTGCTCCTTCTTTCCCAAGATGGGCAGGTCCTGCTACCCAGTCCGGTGCTGTGGATGAAATATCCATTCTGTTATGTGACACAGACACCCCATGCTAGTGCAAGACCCAGATGCAATTAATCATTGTTCAAAAAACACCCCTATATTGTCACATCTGCATCTTATTCACTTTCCTCTGTTGGACCAAATTCTGTCTTTTATACCTTCTGTCATGGTATAAACTGAAAGTAACTCCTCTGAAGCTAATACTTTTTTTCCAGATTTATACTAGTTTATCTAAAATTACCCCTAAAAATTAGATCAACCTAGTTACATCATTCAGGGCCATAGGCACCAACTCTGTGGGTGGTCCAGAGCAGCTGTGATCAGCTATTTGGCAGTGTTCGGGAGGCTGGGGAGGAGGAGCAAGGATGTGGTATACTTTTGGGGTAATGGGAGGAACTGGGCAGGAAGAGGTAGGGCATGGATAGAGTGGGGTAGGCGTAGGTGAGGCAAGGATAAGGCTTTCATGGAAGGCAGGGCCGGGGGGGGACATGCCCCCAGAACTTTTGAAAGTTGATGCCTGTGCCCAGGGCTATGAAAAATTTCTCACACTGTGCAACATACTTAGGTCAACCTAACTCACACTGTAGAAACAGCTAACCCAGTTAGGGTTGCCAGGTGTCCGGTATTCAACCGGATAGTCCATTTTTTGCACCCTCTGACCCGTAAAAAAAATTCAGAAAATACTGGACATGTACAATGTCCGGTATTTTCTGCTTTTCCGTCTGGGCACCCGACGGAAGCCTGGCCGGGGAGGGGAGGGGAGCGGCTGGGGAGGCGGGCCTGCGATATGCGCTGGGAGCCCTCAGCTGGTTGCATCTCCTTGCGTCTGACGTAGGAGGGATGCCTTGGGGAGAAGGAGAAGCCCTGTCCGTGCTCCTGAGCACTGTTCAAACACGTCATGCAGCCATAGTCCAGGAGAGAAGCCCGCAGGTGCTTTGTGGTTGCATTTAGGTGCCTTCCATGGGCTCTCAGCCAAAACTGACTGGGGTGGAATTTCTGCCTGTTCCCACTGGGCCACCCAAAGACCTGGCTATGGGGGAGTCACCTTCCTACCCACATCTGCTGCCTGAGTTCAGAGTTCCCCGTGGCCGTCCCGCTCCCCCTCCCGCTCTGCCATTGCATTGCCCTGGTGTCTGCCTCTCTGCTTTGCAGAGCAGGCTCTTCTGCCTCTACCGTCATTCCCAGCTTGGTGGCTCTTGGTGGTAGCCACACAGGGCCTGACCCCTGCCTGCTTTGAGCCGTGTAATAAGGCCGTGGGGAGTGGAGCTGAGCTGGACTCAGGTGCTTTGTGACCCAGGCTCCCTTCTATGGGCAGGGAGCACTGGTAAGAGCAAGCTATATGCAGAGCTCTTCTTCAGGTCTGAGAGCAGGGCTCAGTTTAGTGTTGCACCAGCAGCTCTTTAGCAAATGTGCTTGGGGGAAGGATTGCCAGTTGTCCAGTATTGAACCGGACAGTCCGGTATTTTCACCTCCTGTTGGGTAAAAAAATTCAGAAAATACCAGACACTTAAAATGTCCGGTATTTTCTGATTTTTGTCCCGGCCAGGAGGCAAAAATCCCGGGTGCTTACCAGGTTCTGCAGGGGAGCTGTCTGGCCTGGTGCAGGGAGGCAAAATGGCGGGCGACCACCCGCAACCTGCTAGGGCCAAAAAGCCGCAAAAGCAAAGCATTTCTTAAAATGGCCATGCTAGGTTTTGTTTTGTGGTTTTTTTTTTTTTGGTCTCCTTTTTTTTCTCTCAACAGAATTTTTTCCCATTTGAGGAGGCGGGGGGGGAAGTTCGGTATTTTTTGTTAAAGCATCTGGCAACCCTAAACCCAATGGAATAACTCTGTCAACCTAGCTACCACCCCCAAGGGCTGCAGTTCAATTACATCAATGGGAAAAGCCCTTCCTTCCCTGTAAGAAGCATCTACACTATAGCACTGCAACGGCAGAGCTTTAGTGCCAAAACAGTGCCACTGTAGTGTAGACTTTAGTCTAATTAGATTAATCTGCTTATCCTCTCCTGACTTCTGCTACTTTGCCTGCTGTATGACATGGTATAAGGCATACATCTCCTTTGACAAGACCTCTCCTTTCTTCCATAGGTTCTCTGGCAATGAAAATCTGCAGGAAGGATTCCTTAGCAATCAAACTTAGCAACAGGCCCTCCAAACGAGAGCTGGAGGAAAAGAACATCCTCCCAGTGCAGACTGATGAAGAGAGACTTGAACTGAGGCAGCAGATAGGAACAAAGCTAACAAGGTAAGATCCAAACACTTTCTAACATTCGAATCAAGCAATGGGTTGCTGGGAGAGTGGACTGTAAAATACAACTTTTATCCTTGGCCTATGGAGATTTAAGGTCCTCTGTTCACAATGCTGTTATGTGAGAGAAGCCACCCACCAGGCTGAAGAAACCAACAGCTCTAAGCTTTGCCTCTGCTTCGGTATAACTTCCCATACACAGCTTTTTCTCACCCTCAGGGTCCTTTGCCCCAGAAGGCCCAGTGGACATGGGTGCTTTTGCATTGGTGCTCATTTTCTACTCCCCAAAAAAAGGTGCCACTTCTGGGATACTCTGCAAGGTAGCATTAGGAACACACTTGCTGTATGTACTCTTTTGTGAGATTATTGGTGCTACTAAGTAACTGACATGAAGCCCCATCCCAACGAGGCCTCCTGACAGCAATTCTGGGATCCAGAGCAGAACAGTCAATGGGCACTCTATGTCACAGGCTGCCTGACATGTGGGTGGTGCTGCGCCTACACTGCTGGTGCCTGGCGAACTGCTGCCAGCGGTGCTGCTGGCATGGTCTCTCTTTTTTTTTCTCATATCATGAGCAATACATTATATGTGCACTGCGGTGTGTGTGGATGTGCACCACCAGTAGAACCAAAAAAATAAAATGTATATTTTAAAAAGTTACCATTGGGATAATTACTCCAACCATGATAGGTTGGGCATTTTAAAACTCACTGCTCGAAGAGTTAAATGTAAAGTATAAGAGAAATAAAAATTACAAAATGTATAGACTAACACTACGCACTAAAATAACACACTTTAAAATAACACACTGAGAAGTAATAACAATAATAAAAGTATGTGTTGGGAGATGAGTGTGGAAGAGAGAGAAAGAGTGCATGTGTGATAGAGACAGAGAGCTGCGGTGGGGGGGAGGGGCTGTGTGTGTGGGAGAGAGTATGAGCTGGCTGCTGGGGAAATCAAGTAAGGCACGCAGGCACTCGCACAGTTCATCCTAGACCGGGATGGGCAAGATACGGCCCATCAAGCTATTTGATTCAGCCCATAGCCTACCCTGCCATGCCTCCACCTCCAGGCCAATCAAGACTCAGGGGCAGTGGAGAGTGCAAAGTCTCATCTCCCCGCCCACCAGGGGAACACGGCACCAGAGGGAACCGCCAGCTGTTTCTAACAGCTGGTGGGTCCCTCTAGGCATCATGCGCCTTGGCTGGGCAGGGGCAGGGGCAGGAGAGTTCATGCGCTCCCTACCCCTGGCCAATTGGGACCTGGAGCGGGGGAGCGCACAAAGTCTCGTCCTCCCGCCAGGGGTGCGCAGCGCCCAGAGGGAACTGCTAGCTGTTCAAAATGGCTGGCAGTTCTTGGGGTGCCATGTGCCCCCGACAGGGTGGGGTCCGGGGTGAGAGACCTCTCGTGCTCCCTCACCTCACAGAGGAGCGAGTAACGTCTCCTCTCCACAGCACGTGGTGCCTAGGAGGAGCCACCCCTTCCATCCGGCGCCCCACCCCTCCTACTTAAGGCCCCTCCCCTTCTGGGACCAGCCCACCACCACTACCAACATTGGTGAAGTGGCCCCCCCTACAAAAATTATTGCCCACCCCTGCTCTAGACTGCACACTGTAAGCTCTCTCCGACGCGAGTCCTCCTGGATGGCTGTGTCTATACCCTCTCCTTGTAAGAGATGAGGTACAGAGGTAGGGGGACACCCTGACAGCAGCACTTCCCTTTCCCCCAACCCCCACACTTCACAGCTAAGATAAGGGACCCTGGAGCAGCTGCTGCAGGAGAGAGCAACACCTGGGGAGAGGCATCTGAGCCCATGCTGCCAGTTGTGCTCTGCTAATCAGCCAGGCAGCAATTGAATCATTCCTGTGTGGCTGGAGGCCCCAGGCCTTTTTAAATGGCCTAGGCCCTTGAGCAATTGCCCCTCCACCCCTGTCGATGGGCCTGCTCCCAACTGAGTTAACTTTGGGGCAGATAAATATATTTCCATCCAGCAATACACATGCCTGTCACACACAACCTGATTTGACTGGGTCAGGCTTGGACAGGATTTCTCCTTGTGCAGACTCTTTCACATCTATAATGTTATTCCTCTCCACTTGATCCTACGTTTGCCATTCTAGATGTGGGCTGGGGTAGAGAGGGGATTGATGAACATGAAGGATAGACTGTATTACCTCTCTTGCTCTCAGCAATTAGTTGCATTCAGAATAGCTAGTGTTCCTGGGCGAAATATGTGAGACGTTCAAGGGCTTTCCCTGTATACTTTTGACCTGTGCTTTCTATATTAAATCTAATGCTCCAAATGGCCTTTGGGGACCTGGCAGCTGTATTATGCAGGAGTAGGCCGTAAAAATGCTTTATGAATGAAAATGTTCAACTCTCCAGCTTGGTGTAGTGTGTGTGCACAAAAATATCCAAATTGATAGTGAGCTAAGAATAGAAATGTCAGAAGAGGAAGAGCAGTGCATATCTAGATGCAACATCTGATTTATCACATACAGTACTTGGGAGTTTCTGTCAGTGAAACTCTGTGTTGTGACCACACGTCAGGTTATTTCTACTGGCTCCTAACTTGCATATAGGAACATAGTATGCCATGCTGAATCTAACCAAGGCTCATCTAATTCTGTATCCTGTCTCCCATACCAAATGCTTCAGAGAAAGGTACATGAAACCTTACATTAGGCAGCTGTAAGATTATGTACCTCCCCACATTGGGTATCCTTATAGTTTTCTACCGGACAGTCTGATTTTTGGGCCCTCTCCCCCGTAAAAAAAATCCAGAAAATACCAGACATGTGCAATGTCCGGTAATTCCTGGTTTTCCAGCTGGGCACCAAACAGAAGCCTGGCGGGGGTGCGGAGAGTGACTGGGAGGTGGGGCGCGATCAGTGCAGGGAGCCTTGGTTGCATGTGAGGAGGAGGAGGGGCAGACCATGCTCCTGCGTGCTGGTCAAGCGCATGGTGGAGCTGCAGCCGGACTGACTTGCGTGGAACGAGAGCACCCTGAGATCTGCACAGCCCGGGTCAGTCCTGTTCCCAGCGGCCAGTTCTCCCCTCCTCCTCCTCCTCCTCCTAAGCTCCCCCAGGAACACTAGCTGTTTCCTGCCCACCCCACTCCCCTTTCCCAGCCAGCACCGCTCCCCTCCCAGCCAGTCCCTCCCTCCCTCCTCCCATGAAGCATGTCCAGTATTTTTTTGTATGACTACGGTGATCCTATCCCTGTGATTACCACAGAGATTTAAACTGAGAAGCAACTTGCCTTTCACCCCCCTCAAGCAGCCCCAGCCCCCAACCCCATTCTTACCTGGTTCTGCAAGGCTGCTGGTACAAAATGGTCTTGGAGTCTTTTTTTTTGCTCAACAACTTTGGTCTCCCTCG